CTTCTGTTATGTGTGCCTAATAAATAAAATAAAAAATAAAATAAAATAAAATTTCCTATAATTACAAGAATAACTTAATAGCGGGAAGATGTATGTAATTAAATTAAAAAAATGTAATATCCTGTGTATGGCATAATATTAATTACTTTAAAAAACGGGCTAAAAAGTATTAAGTATTAAGCAAGTGAAATTAAATTGGTCAATATAAATACCCCTTAAGATTTCGGTCAGTTAAAAACATATCGTCATCCCAATTATACACTGTCTGCTAATTGTCGAAGGTCGAAATCATTATTATAGCTGCAATACATGTAAGTAAATGGGCACTATCAAGTTGAACAATTTCGAACTTAAGTACGAATCTAGTGACATTGGCCGTATGGTCCCGGAATAGAATAGGCCACTCCTACCTTTTCCGTGGGTTTCGTAAGAGCCGAGGGAGACTTTGTACAAAAGTCGATTGCTTGGGTACCTCTGTCCCATTCGTGTTTCTACCGTGAAGCAGTTGTGTTCGCATGGCTGTGTTTCGGTTTGAAGGGTGGGATATGGCGTGAATTTACAGGGTACAGAGGAATAACATCTGAGTTCTCAGGAATGGCAACGCATGGGGGGTATCATGGGCGAAACAGTATACTCTGTTATGTCCATGGTCAATGTCCAACATCACCAAAAACCTAACTGCGATTGCCAATTTGCCTGCCAAGCGTGGCAACTACTGGTAAAAGCCCCCAAGGAGGCTTACGTTCAGCAGTGGACAGTTAAAGGCTGATGTGATGATGATAGTAACATATTTAAGTCTATCCTTATAATAATTTCAAAAAAATATTCGGTATTTTCAAAGTATGTAAATAGATTGTACGCTTGCTTATGTCACACTTGCATTTGGTCACGTACGCTTTTGATTGCTAGCAAGAAGACTTTATCTTAAGTAACTTTTTAGGAAGGAATTTTATCTATTTCATTAATTTTCCTGCTTTTTAAGCAGGAAAATTAATGAAATAGATAAATTCTATTTATGAAATTGTATTTTAATTATTAATATGAAACATTGTTTTTAGCAGATTTTAAGTTAGATCTCCAGGAATATAACAGTAAATATAATGTAATGTAAATGTAATATAAATGTAAATAATAAAATAGTATTTAACTTTTGCGTGATGCGGAACAAACATACATATAGACAAACATGCAAACGAAATTTATAAAAGTTATTGTTTTGGTATCTATTGTTTGTTTTTTTTTTTATGCAACTTTGAATGGCAAACAAGCTGATCACCCACCTGATGGAGAATGGTTACCGTTGCCTATAGACATGAGCAGTACCATGGACATAACAGAGTATACTGTTTCGCCAATGATACCCCCCCAAGCGCCATTCCTGAGGACTAAGGTGTTATATGGTGTTGTATGTACCGTATGTTCTAACTTGAGATATAGGATGGTATTATGAGAGAATATATATATATATATATATATATATATATATATATATATATATATATATATATATATACATATTATTATAACAGCAATATTCGTAATTGTCATAATCGCAGCTTGTTATATATTATGTTACGAAAAAATGTAACAGTTATTGTTTTTAGTTCCAAAGAAACATTTTTTAACGTTATAAAATCTTTATAATTTGACAACAAAAGGAAGTATGCCTGTCTGGTTAACCTCTCTGACTACAGAACCATACAATAAGAAAAAACCAAGGTGAGGTCGTGTCGTCTGCACAATATTAGGGTTCGGTAATCGTATTTTAAAGTATTACTCCTTTATTCATTAAAAGTCAAACTTCTTATAAACATATTTTAGTTATTGAAGTGTTTTGTCCTTTCCTTTTACATTAATTTTTCAATATAGGTGTTTCAATAATAGGTTTGTAGTACATTTTTGTTTTTATGAATAAGCGGGTTAGCCTATTGGCTTATTTTAATATATTATTATCTAAGATTATATATATATATATATATATATATATATATATATATATATATATATATATATATATATATATATATATATATATATATATATAAAGTCCCGTTTCACGATGCTCCTTGCTGTTAACCTCCGAAATAACTCAATTTATTTTAATGAAATTTTATAAATACGTATTGTTTGTTCCAACTTGAGAGATACGATAGGTTTTATTTAGGTAACAAAACGAATAGGCGGTAGGTAAAACAATGTTTTGTCGGAGCAGCTAATCATAATAATATTAAATTGTCTAAAATAAAACCGATCATATAAAAATCGATTTCACTCGTCGAAGGGGTCGTACATTGTTGTTTTGATTGATAAATTATATAAATATATATATATATATATTATTACTTGAACATGTACATGAGGTAAAATGACCTCGTGTTTTTTAAACAAAGAGATTTGATATTTTTGGTTAATTTTTCTACTGAAAATGAAAACTACACAGTATAAAAATTCAAAAAAATGGAACTCCTATTTCAAATTGATAGCATTAGTGGTATCTGAGATGTAGCACTGTGACAGACAGAGGGATAGATAAAGTCGCACTAAGTAAAGATTGCTTTATATCATTTTGATACGGAACCTTAAAAATAAAACATTTTATGCCGTCGAGATTGAACAATGGTTTTAAAACACGCTTGCCAAAAATAGACCTGAATTTTTGTCTTTATTTTCGTTTATAGGGATACCAGAATGTTTATATATTACTTAGCAAATGGACAAACTGTATATTGTGAAGTTAACTCGAAGTTTAGTCGAAAATAAATACACTACAAAATTCTAAAGACTATATATATATACACACATTCGTTATCACAATCATTAAGAGTGATTGATATTTTGTTAATAGATAATTTATATTAATAATATAATACAAAGTTGACGCACAACGGCCCAAATGAGAGGCTAAGTGCGGAAAACAGTCTTTCTTACATTACATTACATAATACAAAGTTAAATTTATATAAAAATTATAGTTCCAAAACACATGTGATAGTGATGCATAAACAAATAAATTTTCATTGACAAGCAACAGAATTACGAATCAACTGAAGCGTCGAAGTTTGGAACTGATACCTACAACTGGATGCATTGAACCAAGTCTAATATAGGTACGAGCATATTGATGTCAAGGTTTAGAGTTCAAACCGAGAATAGATCCATGGTACCTTCGGACCTGAATTACGTTATTCAGTTGCAATTATTTAATTACATAGCTACTTCTCGTTAGAATGTAATGATTTTGTGGTTATATTTTTAGTTTTCATTACAAACTGTATAATTCGACCTAAGAACTCAGCTATCCTGCTTGTTCTTTTCTTGCAATAAATTTAAACTAAATTGTTCTTAATTCAAATATTTGCGATAAATGTGAGGCGAGGCGTCAGTTCGAACAAAAAAATCATTAAATTTGAAAATGTTACAATATATTATTAATGGCTAGGTCGATAGCGATATTTATAAATAGTTGAACAATATTATGAATATTGTTAAACCTTCAATTTCTCATTGAATTGAACTAGCATTTTTTATATTTCTTTCACCATATTTTCAATTCTTGATTAGAACACAATGCGATGCGATTACAGTGTGTTTCACTGTAATCGCATCGCATTGGGTTCTTTCACATAAGCGTATTTAAGAGGTCGTGCCTTGTCTGGTGCCCACTCTAGGGTGAAAACAGTGCTTTTAACTCTTCGCTGTTAAGATATGTCTGAGAATGCATAATAAGCTTCCGTTGTTCCGATTTAATATACGTCTCAAGCCTTTTCTTTTTTTATTACTAATATTAATTTATTTTATTGTTTTGATACTTCCAGATGGTGGTATAAATATATTTTCTAGTTTCTTCAATATAAGAGCGGTGCCGACTCTTAAATAACATAGTGGTTACCCGATCACAGCAGATTTAAATAATTGTTTTGATTTTTTTTTATCCTCATAATAATAAATTCAGAATGACAAGTATTTAGATTAATAAATTTGCTTAATATACTTGATAATTTGAATATGTATGAAATATGTTATTAAGCCTGATGACTAAAGATAAATTTAAGCCATGCACGGTGATGATCTAACTGTTTTATCATCTCAATAAACTGGTTTTATCTATGTAGGTAATATAACTGGCTAGTATCAGACCAAATTTTCGGTTTCCACTAGATTCGGTATAAATTAAAGATTCGATTTCGATGATAAAAAAAAACTGGCAATAACTACGGTTAAAACAAACTAGATCCGAGAACTGACTGTTTGGACCAATTTTATTAGTTTTTTATGGTTCCACTACCTAATATAACGGTAAACATTTTGTACATTTTAACGATATTACTCGGCAAATTAAGTAGAATAGGAAATGTGAAAGTTGGTGTATATATATATATATATATATATATATATATATATATATATATATATATATATATATATATATAATTAATAACGCGTGTCACTTCATGCTTAGATAGAAATGAATGTTTAAACTTATTTATACACAAAACTTACAAAACACAAAGATTTTCGAACTACCGCCAAAATTATAATAAAATCTTAGTGTAGCTTCTATTTTTAAATTAACTTTAAAAATATTACACATAGTACGTGTTTTCTTTTATTATTAGAAGGTGTTAAAGGTTAAATCCGTCATACCGTATGGTATTATGCCGTGTGGTCCCGGCATAGAATGGGCCACCCCTTTCTTTCCCGTGAGTGTCATAAGAGGCGACTAAAAGAACATAAGTTAATACAGTTTTTTATACCACTATTTACCACATAGACCGTAAGCTGAGAAAAAAATTCACTTATAGTCTACCTTTTAAATATGGATATATAATATGACTACCAAACAAAACAAATATTTCAAATCTGACTAGTGGTTCCAGAGATTAGCGCGTTTTTTTTTTTTATAACACAGGGCGTAAACCATCATACGGCTCACCTGATGATAAGTGACTAACAAATAAAGATTTATTATATTATTTCGTTTTATTATATTATAGTTTTACCTGGTATAGTGTGCTTGTCCAGGATCTCCATAACCCAGGACTATGTCATGGAGCCACTCCGGCACTACACATTCCGTGTTCATCAACTCCCTGATCGTCTCAAGGACAGCTTTGAAGTTGTTCTCTTTCGGTTTTCGTCGCATAACTATGTTGAATGTTTCGTATACATCCTGTATCAAAAGGTATATTGAAATTATAGTTACTATAAGTAATGGAAAAATAAATTGACTTTTAAATAAAATAATTGACCACAAAGGTGGTAAACAAGCATATAGTTTATCTAATAGTAAAGTATTTTACAGTTCCCTAAAAATATGTATTATTATTTTATCATTTTTAAGAATAAAATAAGTTGCAAATCAAATTGGACAGATTAAATTTTGTCATAACAATATCACAAAATATAGTGCATATACAAAAAGAGAGAATTATTTTGTGATACACTTTTAGGGCATAATGATATATTAAGTAAACGAGGTAGCAATTTCCAAATATTGTATTCATTTAATTAATATTACGCAATAATTATATAGTGGTGTATATTAATGTGGGGTCTCTTCTTAATACTTGTAAGTGTTCAATAGAATAATTAAAAGGTTTATATTAGGCATGGGTAATATTGGTACCGCTGTAATATCTATATATAGGGTTTTATTGAACATTCCATTCTGACACGTTCCGATATTGCCCGTATCGGACGGATATCTATGTTTATTTCGATCGGGTCCTTTCGACTTTAAATATTGGATAACAGTCATTTAAAATATTCATTGTTGGACCAGTATATAGATATTATAACTAAAATATACAGATATTGCTGTTCCCACCCCTAGTTTGATTTATAGCGCATATTTAAAATTTCAAGCTTTTATCTAAATGACGGAGCTGGGGGCCTACCATGAAACGAAATTCCGAATTTTCGGGCTCAATTTCGTGTTTTTATTCATACCTAAATCGGCACAGTAAATGGAGCTTAACGTTTCATTCATCATAAATCCTATCCTAATAGTCCAGAGGAACGATATTTTAATATTTTTAATAATTGTAATCGGCATGTATTATGTAATTTTAACATCAAATTTCTATTTCGTTCGTCCCCGAAATTTCGGAAAATATTTCATGGTAGGCCCTCTGTAGATGTTTCTATTGACGTATTACAGATTCAGGTAAATTTTGAATATATAGAATAAGTAACTATAATTATCATACTAATGCTAGATAGACTCACCTCATTTCCTTTACTAGCACGATCTAAATCTAATCTATATTGGTTTGGATCTAGTAATAACCGGAATGTTCTAGAATCACCGTCGAGTTCTGGTCTCGGCTCAGGCCCTTCTTCGATGACCCTCCCGGCTGCGTCCAACATTCCCTCAACCTCACATCCTCGAACGTACACAATGCCGGCTTGTTCTACCATACTTTGTCTATAATCGTATTTAGTACCTAAAAAAAAAAATAGTTATTAATAATTATTAAAAAACAATGGAAATTACAATTTGATATCTTATAAAGTGTCCCTACTAAGTATTACTACTACATATTTTTATCAATCAAACATATCATGTCAATTTAAATTTATATTGTAAAAAATATATTACAAAAAACACAATTATATTTCGCTCAGTAAAAATAAAATTCTATATTCTATAATCACAAAATTAATATATTGACCAACACCATTATTTATTACACCTTTGTCGATTACAAAAGAAATTGTAAAATTTGGTTCAGAATTGAATATGTAATAACAGAAACAAAAAAAAAATCAACAAATTGAGATGCTCCTTCTATTGGAAAATTCCACTTTATTCTTTTTTTTTCTAACAACACTATTAAATACGAATTATTATCGTGAATATTGCAAAAACTCCTTACCTATACCCTGAGTGGGCCTCACAGTGACCAAGAAACAAACATCATGTTTCCTCAGACTTTCCCATTCATGTTTTATCTCGTTCTTCACGCTAAGCGTCACTGTCACGTCAGCTCGCACTCTCGAAGGTGCCTTCTCGCCAATATTGGGTTTCGCGACCTCAACAACTGCAAAGCTTTTGATAGGATGGGCCATACGCGCCCACCCTCCGAAGTAAACGCTTCCATCTTCTGCTCGCCTAGTAAGATATTTCATGGATAGATTATTATTGAGATTATTATATACTCCCCCATGCTATTCCTGGGGATTCAGGTGTTATTACTCTATACACAAATAACAGTTACATCTACTAGAATGTTTTCATTTATCAAGTATCTAAGTACGTTGGGTTTAACTAAATCCGTATAAAACTCATTGTGTGTGTGTGTGAATTTAAATATACTCAATTACTTGTACGTGTACATTTTTACACGGCCGGCTCAAAGGACTAAAAGTTGTTCGCTATTGGATTAACCAATTTAATACTGTTTAAGAGGAAACTAAGAAAATTGTAGTGTGAAAAGATATATATATATATATATATATATATATATATATATATATATATATATATATATATATATATATATATATTGTATCGATTGTGCCGTAGAACCTATATAACTACTTAATTAGGTATCAGGCTGTACAATCGAATATTAAAATATGCAAATTTTCGTATTGGTCGAGATTTGAATTCGCACCTTCTACGCCATGTCAATACTAGTAGTCCTACCATTGAGCTACTGTAAATTGCCAAGTGTGTTATTAAAAATAAATATTTACCGAACATTTATTTATATTCTGAATAGATCACAGTTTGTTTAGCTATTGATATAGATATTGAATCAAATTGTGGAATATACGTACCATGGCGCCAGTCTGTAAACAGCATCTTCAATATCTTGACGGATTTCGTCTGCAACATAAAACAAAAATCATTGCGGCCATGATTGACATTTATTACCTTAACCATAACCATATTTCACTACCATAAAAATTTATAAACCTATTAACTTTTACTCGCAACTTCATATTTATAATTTTTGAAAGTTGTTAACCATTTTAAGATGGCGTCAAGATCAAGATAAAACATACACCAAATTTTAACTTAGACCTATTAAATCTTATTACCGAACGAAAACTGTAGATTTGGTTTAAAACTCGATTATCAGTCCACGTTTAGTTTGAGTATTATGATTTTTTTTTTAATAACAAGACTGATTAAGTTCCATTGAAAATGTTTCTCAATATAAGATAATATGTATTGCATATTTTTTCTGCAGTTCAATGTGGGTGTTTAGGTTTACTCATAACATTTCCTAAAGATGATTTTTCATTGTAATATTCTTTATATCTACTTGGTATTTCGTTCTTTGAAATATATATGACTATGTGTACAAAAAACATAGGATGTCTTTAGTATCCTTTACAAGACAACAATAAACGGGTGACGTCATTGCGACCATGTTGTTTTATTGATCTTAATATTTATCTATAGGTCTATAGATCTAATGGTGACATAAATATGCATAGTTTCACCAAATTACTTTATGCTTATACAAAATATATATAGTAAAGTATGTAAATTAATAATTTTGTAAAACCAAAAATTAATATTTGTATTAGAAACAAAATATTAAATAATAATAATAATAAAATTTATTGCCATTCTTCACAAATTATAATGTACATATATTAATTAATCAATATATTGTGCAGTAATTGTATGCGCCTGGCAATAGGTACAAAATCAGCTTTTGCTGGACTGATGTTCGTTCAGCGCTGATTTTCAGTTTGCACCTACACGGGGCACCGTTTCATTATCAAATATATATATATATATATATATATATATATATATATATATATATATATATATATATATATATATATATATATATATATATATATATATATATATATATCAAATATATAATATCTATACTAGATTCTCAGACAGTTTATCATATCACAGGGCATAGGAAGTGCAACTATAAAATTTGAGAAAGGAAATTATAAAAAATATTTATTTATCACTTAATTATTAATTAATATGTTGAAAAAATATTAATAACAATTTTTAATTAAAAGGGATTATTCTAGTGACGACTCCTGTTTTTTTAATTGAAAGAGACTATTGTAGTGACGACCCTACACTGAATTGTACAAATTGAAATTGGCTTATAAAAAGGAATTTCTTCTTAAATTATTATGAATAATAAAATGAGATTCAATTAGTCATTTCATTAGTGATATTAAAAAAAAATGAGATACATTAATAATGAATTCTAAAAACTATATGCGTAATTATACAATCAGATGACGAGAAGTGAGATACGGAAGTGAGTCAGGTTTAAACAGTTCCTTATAACAATGCTGATGAAAAAGATTTGCTTAGTCATACATAATCCGAACTGAATCTGATTAAAAAATATTTTTTATGCAATTGCAAATGGCAAATGATAAGCTGTATGGTCCCGGCATAGAATAGGCCACCTCTTCCTTTTCCGTGAGTATCATAAGAGGCAACTAAGAGGGCGAGCAGCAGGATCCCTCTAAAAACATCTTCAAAGCCTAACTGTGGATGCCAATCCGCCTGCCAAACGTGGCAACTATTGGCAAAACCCCTCAAGGAGGCTTATGTTCAGTAGTCGACAGTTAAAGGCTGATATGATAATGATTATGAAATGGGATGACCATCCACCTGATGGTACGCGGCAACCATCGTCTATAGACCTGAAGAGTAAACATGGACATCATAGTGTGTTTTTTTTTTTTGATGGGTGAAAATGGTATGGTGTCCCCGCCTGCGCTAACGGGATACGCTGGCGGAGCACCAATGAAGGGTGATTGATGAGAATGAAAACAGGCCAGTTAGCCCATCATGTTGAATTCATCAGGAATTAACCATGATAGTTTCCAGGGAGAACCGCGAGGAGGTCGACCTGGTTGGGTATACTGCTAGCAATGGGAGTCTCCATTACTAACAATCCCATTCCCCCCATCATAGTGTGTTATAGACTGTCTATATTAATACGGTACTTTTTTACTTCTATGTGTGTGACCATATATAAACGTGATTTTTTTTTATATGGTTTGCGGTACAGTATTTAAGGCATCCCGTCCTCGCTATTGGATACGGGTGAATGCCTATACAAGAGGGTACATGGTGGACGCCGTTTTGACGCAATATTTGAGAAGCATTAAGAAGGTACTACGTCGGCCCCCGAACTCGCGACCTCTGCTGTCTACCGGTCTCCAGTTCGAGGGACAACCGATCACCGGCCGTAAAAGATGACGCAGGGCGTCTATGATATATAAACGTAATGCACTATTTTGTTTGGGAGGGTTTTCTTACAAACACAAATAAAGCATTAAAGACGTATGTCTTCAGTGGCGTTCCGGCCAGAGGAGTATTATACTCCTTAGTTAAAACCTTTTAAATATATTTACTCACATATTTTTTATTCTTTTCTTTGTATTTTGAGGGGACTTGCCATTTTACGCAATCTATATAATATACGCAATCTATATACAGTGTACCATAGTATCATACATTTTATTCCTTTTAGTAATAATGTAAATGATGCTGTGACTCCCTACCAGTAATTTTATTGCTATATTTCCTTACCATACCGACCTTTAACTAACCTGTAATTTAACTCCGCTTTAACGATCAGACATTATAGTTTCACGCCTATTTCATACAGCTTTGTTCCATTTAAACCAACAATAATTTTAGAGAACGTGACTTTTGTTGTTTTTAACTAATAATTTATCTACTTATCTATTACTGTTCTCTCATTAAGCAATTAATTAATGAATTCTTGAATTGTACTATTTTTGAAGCTTAGCAGACTTGCTTATAGTCGGGTCAATATCGATTTGTTTACATTTTCATTATGTTCTATTGAAACAGATTGTAGATGAGGTTGTATGGTTTTTTCGTCTTGATCATATCAACGGTTGTGACTTGTACAGAGGGTCTTGTCAGTAGTTTCCACGTTTGACAAGTGTGTTGGCAATTACGATTAGGTTTTGATGATGTTTTAAAGGGATGCTGCTGCCCATACCTCGACCATTGTGCTCCCATAGTTGTCTCTTATAAAGGGGTGGGCCATTCTATACCGGGACCACACGGCATGTATGATATGCCCAGTGAAATTTATTTATTTTCTATTACGATCCGAAAGACCGTGATCTGAGGAAGGAGTCAAGGGTTACCGAAAGAGGGGTGAATACTCAAGACGAGTTAAAAGTTCAAGATGAAATAGGAAACAAGAGATGCATGTAAGGTTAGAGGTCTCTGGCACTCGGCTCGCTCTGTCTACCCTGTAAGAAACTCAGCGTAAAGATAAATAGATACTTACATGTACTTTCCAGTCTGAAAAGATTGAAATTCCTCAAAAGATAATCGTGCAGAGTGAGAAACTGTAGATTCAGTTTAGGGAGAGCAAGGCAGTTCTCTCCACTGTATATTTCTGTTGGCACCACATTCTCATCCCATATAACGTCTTCAGTCGGATACAGTGGCATAGAGTTCAACTCTTCTAATTGAGATATCCGCCGCTCGTGGCGGGAAATCTAAAAGAAAATTTAATTGCATCAATAAAATTTGCTGTAATATACACCGTAAATGACGCAAGCTGTGCAAAATTTTAAGGCATAAAATCTGATTTTACATGCAGAGTGGAAGTTTTAAAAATTGTGCTAAATCAATGAACCAATTTTAAAAGAAGGACGTTCTAATTATGGCTATATCTTTTGTATGTTACGGCATATATTTTAAATTTAGAATGCGAGTACATAGTACCTAAACAGGTGTGTCAACGCCTAATTGAAATAAATATCTTCACACATTCTGATCTGATTTTGGTGTTCCATTTTACAATAAATATAAGGTTTACTACCATGTTGGTCCCAAGGCATTTTTATCAAGATTGAAGCTAGTTTCTTGTTGTGAAACAAAATTTTAAATTATCAATTGATTAGTTTTTGCTCGCGTTTTCGCCCGCGTGACCGGTATACGAGTACATTAACAGATCGTGATAAAAAGTAGTCCTTGGCCTTCTTAATGACTGTGAATTTACAATTCAATTCATTGGCTAAGTTTAGAAGAATTTATAAGATCTATTTATTAATATATTATTTATTTATATATTAGCTGTTCCTCACATCTTTGCCCGCGTAAATAAGTAGATATATAATGTAAAATATGTGTTACGTCAGGATATAGCTTACTCGTGTACCAAATTTCATTCAAAATTCAGCTGTTTAGGTGTAACTGAGTAACAAACATACGAACATCATTCCAGCGTTCACATTTGTTCAAAGATGTTTGAATAATATTAGTAGGATTTATTATTATTTTTTCATTAATTAATAAATGTTTTATAAAGAATATGTTCAACTACGAGTACTTAACCAAATGATTAGTATAAATATATTATATATCTAAAAAAAATGCAATCCTTCCTAATAATACAAATGAAAAAGTGAGTTTGTTTGTTATTTCCTTGTCAAATAACCATTCAGTCAACATATTCCGATTACGCGGATGAAGTTGCAAGTAAAAACTAGTAATATTATAATTCAAGCAACTCACTAATAGCTCCCGAAGGAAACCTTTGTCGAGCCGGTGCCATGGTGCTTCATCTTCTTTGCCTTCAGCTGGTACCAAGTTCAGGTAGGTCGCAATAGCACGTAGTGCCTTATCACTGAAACCATTACAAATATTATATTAAATGAGTACGGCTCACGTCACTCGCCGATGATGCAGTTTTTCATATATGAAAGAATTATTAAAATTGGTTATTTATTTTTTGAGTTTATATTACACACAAGAAAATCAAATCCTTCTTCTTTATATAATAATTATCCCATATGATCTGTCGATTCGAACTCGGAATTCTAACATTCGTACCAAGTGTATTTCTAGTTACATTATGGAAGGATTTTAAGGCAAATAAGCTAACGACCCACGTTATGAAATAACACCATCGCCATTACAGAATACGCTATTATGCCCATGGGATACTACTAATTTGTTATTTTTTTTTTCCAATCGCATGCGTGCATTCAAGTATTTTTTAAATTGGTTTTCACATTGGAAAGTTTCAAACAAAATTAATAAAAATATGTATAAATACCTTAAATTTCCAAAGTGTTTCTGCAAGGATTCCCTAGTGTCCACACTGGCAACATTTGCGAGGGCAAACGAGCGCAAATCGGGGAACTTGGCGAATGCCGCTTTCTGCAAAGTTTAATTAATTTTCAATAATTCAGCTATCCACACATAGAATAGTTTGCGTTATTTGGTTTACGCTGGCAGGGTATCTGTGAGGGAGAATACGTAAATCTTCACCTATCATCGGTGAAATCAGATCAATTTAGCCATATTGTGAGATATTCATTAACAATTAAACAGAAATTAATAATATTAATATAAATAATTAATAAAGGTTGCTTAGAAGAGATTGCTTTACGATAAGGTCGCTTTTCAGATCACTTCCCTTTAATTATTGACTGTATTTAATCATTTTGTAATTAGTACAATGAAGTGTAAATTAATATATTTATTATTATTTATTTATTTAAAGGAACAACAACAGCATATTGCATTATAACACATATAACAAACATTGAATATAATACAATATTAATGCACATGCCTATTAAAGGTATTCACAGCATTTACTTTAACATAATTATACGAGTACAGTATATGTTATATAGAACAATAGAGTATATTATAAGGTTTAGAATCAGCTTATATCTGTTACTATTTATATACCACTGAATAAAAATTATCACAAATAATTTAAAATTCTACAGTTTGATCACATATTTAGATAGAGTTTTGCAATTGTAATTCTTTATCAAAAATTGCGCAGTTACTACAACAAAAATACGAGAAACATTTGGATCACACACGTCTAGTTTTATCTTAAATTAAAGAGCACGTCTGTCTGTATATTTATCACGGTTTTAAGTCTTAAATATTAAATCGACGTGAATGAACAATGACTTTGATCAGAAATAATATAATTGTATTATTAAGTGTGTTTGTAATGTAATATGTACTGAAGAAATGCTGTAATCCATAATTCTAAACTACTTTTTCACCAAAAAAATAAGGATCTAAAAATAAAAAGTAATGAAATCTCTCATATTTGACAGGTGAATAGTCAATATGGGAGGTTGGGGGAAAGGGATTGTTAATAATGGAGACTGAGAATCCCATTGCTAACAATATATCCAACCAGGTCGACTCGCGGTTCTCCCTGGAAACTATCATGGTTAATTCCTGATGAATTCATCATGATAGGCTAACTGGCCTGTTTTCATTCTCATCTATCATCCTTCACTGGTGCTCCGCCAGGGTATTCCGTTAGCGCAGGCGGGGTTACCATTCCATTTTCACCCATCAAAAAAAATATGGGAAGTTCAAAACTATCAATATTTCTGTCATATAAGGTTGCTACGGTTTTGATTTAAATGTATATACTTAAAATTCGTGTATAAAGATAATATTTAATAAACCAATTTTAGTACTGTATCATAAAAATGAAACAAGAGGAAGTCTATATATAAAAGCTAGTATTCAATATAGTATTATATAAAAATATATGGTACACGAAATGTTAGGATTGGAAATCCACCTACATAATTGTATACATACAAACCACCAGTCTGTACTAACCGTGACAAATTGAAATCAATTCCGTCTTCTAGATGACGATACAAATAGTCTATCATTACGACTTGATTCATGTTCTGCTTAGTAATCTATTACAATAAGATTATAATTAAACAACACTTTGAATGCGTGATACATAGGTATCATCACGTCTGAATACTATCAAAAAACATAGGTAGATATTTTTAATATTCTCATACATACTCAAGATACAAAGTTTTAATTACTAGCTTGCCCGACAAATGTTGTTGTGTTTCCATGTTTTTATGAATAAAAATAAATTTGTTACAGTTGGAAATTAAGTTATAAAACATGTAACAAATTTTACCCATTAAGTCGAGATATGACCTAGACAGGGTCAAAGGCACTCTTGACATCATAATTATATAACTGTTATTTTCATTTTATAATATAAAACATGAATCTATGGGTGTCGTAGCAGAGTCCTGGGCAATTTTAAGAAAACCTAAAAATGTTATAAATCTGCTATTCATTATATTCGTTTTGCCGCTTATGGCATTTGCCTGTTTAGTACCTCCCTAGAAGCCCTTATTGTCTAAACAGTTCATAATTAAAGCCTCTAAAAATAAAAAGCCATGAATGAGGACTCCTATCGAGGCCGTAACTAGTCGGGCAATTTCGAAACTAATACGAGAGAAAAAACACAAAAGTTCAATATGTTTGGTGGCCTATAGCTTATTACTGGTAATCTTATATCTGATTAGAATTATTTTGTTTCATTCTACTACCATTAGTATGTATACGATTGCCTCGAAGATTGATTTATTTAAGTTATTATTATTATCAGAAGTTCTACTGCTTTCTATATTATTCATCGATCACCGACTATCATATTGTTCACGCACGTTTTGCGACACATGTTTCACTAAACCTCTAAGATACCTCCTCAAACAAATTAATAGATTGCAAAGTGCGGTATTTCGTAGTAATTTCAGCTACCCGCTAATAGATATATATCGTCATAGTCTTAGAATACTGACGTATATATATATATATATATATATATATATATATATATATGTGTGTGTGTGTGTGTGTGTGTAATATTTCACATCTATATATTTCATCTTACTGTCAATAGTATTTAAAAACAAACCTGTAAGGATGTTATTCTTGAATAATGCAATAGTGTCATATCACGATCTGTCATAGGATCACCAGTTTCATCACTGATCTCGAAGTTGGCGTAGAATTTCAGCATCTGTAGAAGCTGTAAAAAAAAGAAACATTTTTGTAAATAGTTGCCATATTATTTTTTTACAAACTTTTTGGCCGCTACTTCGTACGCATGGATTTCATAAGGAGGAAAACTAAAGGCAATAAACCTTTAACAGATGGTGTATCAAGATAACATATACACCAGTTTTTAAGTTAAAGCTTCCAGAACGGTAATCACTATCAGGTAGGCCGTATGCTTATTTGCCACCTCAGTGGTATAAAAAAATTATTTTGAAGATTTTAATTTCGATTTTAAAGATCTTATACTTAACAATTAGTAAAAATAAAAATATAGATTTAAAAAATATATAACTATAAAGTAATTAGCATATACTTATTTGATACATATATTTAAACGATTGCCCAAAACTGTATGTACGAATATAATGTTTTCAGGGTTTATGTATGTAAGTTTCTTTATTCAACTATAACTTCTAAATACCTAAACAGATTTTAATGTATGAGATATTGTTAGAATCCTTACATCATACCAATGTACAGTAACAATGAATGTAGATTTTTTAAATAGTTTTTTGGCTGAGTAGACGTGTTTTTAGTTTATGGAGTTACATAGGAGTATATATAGATATACTCCTAAGTATTAAAAAAGTCCTGAAATTTTTTATTACAATATACCTAAATAATTCTTACTTGTGTATAATTATGAATATTCGTATATACTACCGCCATCTATAATTCTGCAAGGAAAACTAGTAAGTCTGATCACTATTCAATTAGCAGATCTGTGGCGTTTCTAGCGCTGTTTATGATCACATGTGTAGAGTTACAACAGGCAAAAATCCGAATACTTTATAAAAGCAAGCGTAGCGCCCTCTTTAGGAAAATGGCGTAACTACTAGACGTGGACAATGTCTGTACACTGGAAGTTCAATTTTTTGTTTTGTGTTTTATTAAGAAGCTACAGATTCTCAAAGATCTGTATTTTAATTAAGTGGAGATCGACCTAACAGTGTATATTGGAAGCAATGTACATTGGAACGACTAACTCAAACATTTTTAAACGAGTTCAAAAAAGAAGAAGGTTTTCAAGTCGGTTGCATTTTTTTATAAACGGATTTTAATAACATTTTTTACTTTCATATTGGCTCCATATAAATTTTATCTAAGTCGGTTTAGGAGTATAGTTTATAAATCACAACAATTGGTTTTACTATGATTGAAGTCAGTGTTTTTTGTGGAACAAAATCTTAAATTAACAATGGAATGTGCCCATGAAACATTACGTGGTTCATCGAAGCGTGAGTGCACAATTGAAGTCGTTTTATGCAAAGCAAAACGTACCTCATACTTACACAGGGGTGCGGTGGGGGGGGGGGGGGGGGGGGGGGTTGTTTGTAATGCGAACTACCAATATTTTGCAATTTTTTCAATTTCATTGCGAGTAATATACCGTCAGGTCGACCTCCACGGGCCCCCTCTGGAAACCATCGTATATATGATCATATCTATAATTCTATAATATAGATAAATGTAGTAATGTCAATATACTTGTTATAAACTGCAGTAGGTGTCCAGTAAAAAACACAAACTGATTATATCTTAACTATAAGCATATCGCATAATAAAAGAATATTTACTTACTAATTGTGCTAAAATTTTTTAGAAGATGGTATTGATAATCTGTCAGTTAGTCTGTCTATGAGACTGTGCCAAATTATTTTTAGATCTTAAGCTGAAAGTATTTAGGTTACGATATTGAAATTTTATTTATTGCGATATTGTTCTTTATCAGATAGTTATGGAGATTATAAAAATAATTTTTATGATAAAAATGCATTTTAAATATTTTCCTCAAATCGAAAACAAAGCGTTATGAAAAAATTAAAATTATATGTAAAAGAATATACCTTTTTACAAAGGAAGTTCGTGAAAATATGCATTTTGTTACGTAGTTGTATATTATAATACTTTACGTGGCTAAATTTACACAGTTCATTTATCGGTCCATGCAGCATAATAAAAAAAAATACAAAATCTTTACTACCTTTCTACTATTATGTATTATCTTTTAACAGGGGTTTATATTTTTAACCAAAGTCAAAAAAGAAAACTGTATTATATTTTACTGAAGTAGATGTCATCTTGCAGAAGTCCATATCATTGGTGATTTGATTAGAATTATTTTGTTTAGTTCCGCTACCGTTAGTACGTGTGTATGTCTTTGAGTGTTCGCAGTCACATACATACTAATGGTAGTGGAATTAAACAAAATAATTTAAATCAAATAATCAATGAACTGCGGGTCTACCATGAAATGAAATTCCGAAATTTCGGACTCAATTTCGTGTTTTTGTTTATACCAAAATCGGACCAATAAATGGAGTTTAACATTTCTTTCGGCATACATCCTATCATAAAAGTCCAAAGGAACAACATTTATACATTTTTAATATTTTTTTTTATACGACTTAGAATGGAAAACAAGCTGACGGCCCACCTGATGGAAAGTGGTAACCGTCGCCTATAGACATGAGCAGTACCATGAACATAACAGAGTATACTGTTTCGCCCATGATATATCCAAACGGCATGTCTTATGTAATTTTAACATCAAATTTCTGTTTCCTTTGGCTCCGAAATTTCGGAAAACATTTCATGGTAGGCCCTATGTTATCTCTTATACTCGATACGTTTGTATTTATTATACACTTAAAAAAATATAGTACCTACATATGACGTATTCACCACTTATGAGTATGACTTTGATGATTCCTGCTTTTTAAATTAAAAACCATGTCTCTCTATAGGTCTCATGTCTACTAATTTGATCAAGGTTAACATCGAGTTTCTGTAGGGAAGGGATTGTTAGTAATAGACTGAGGGTCCCATCACTAGTAATGAGTATATTACTAGTGATGGGGCCCTGAGTCTCTAGGTCGACCTACACGTGGTCCCCCTGGAAATTATCGTGCTGAAATCCAAGCCTATTTCATCATCACCTATCATCCCACATTAGTCCCTCGCCAGCGTATACCGTTAGTGCGGACGGGGTTACTATTCCATTGTCATCCATTAAAAAAAATCATTTTTATTAGAATAACTGTACCTCTGTGCCGTTCATAAAGTAATAAATATTTTCTCTATCGAAATTGACGTCTTCCCGATATTATAACATCGTAGTTATTTACTTCGTAGTTATAAATAGTAAAGTGTCCATTTTGTAATCTGTTTATATCCAAATACATAATAATCGACTTCAATGTTACAAGTGTCGAGCACTGTTTGACGTAATTAACTGTACAAATAATAGGTAAATAGTCCATTAATACAGAAATATTTTAGGTTATCTTTTAACATTTATCGCGACACATCGCGTCTCGTCACGTATCTGCCATACATTAAAAATTGGAATGAAGGTAAAGGTAAAATAACTACGTAAACAAATCGTTGTTAAAATAGTAAAAAGAAAAAAAAATATAAAATAATCCCCTTATTTACAAAAACGTGAAGCATCTCATAAACAGGAACTGGTTTGTCTCTTTTTTTGATGCTAAATTCTCAATTTGAATGAAAATGATAAAAAAGTGTGATTTTAGATTTTATGAATAAAGGGGTATAAAATTGACGTTAAATATTAATAAATTTTTTATGGCATAAATAATTGGAGCTACATTTTTATACACACATACATATATGCATACATATCTGTTTTTTTTTTGATGGGTGAAAATGGTATGGTAACCCCGCCTGCGTTAACGGGATACGCTGGCGGAGCACCAGTAAAGGGTGATAGATGAGAATAAAAACAGGCCAGTTAGCCCATCATGATAAATTCATTAGGAATTAACCATGATGGTTTCAAGGGAGAACCGCGAGGAGGTCGACCTGGTTGAGTATATTGCTAGCAATGGGATTCTCAGTCTCCATTACTAACAATCCCTTTCCCCCCCGCATACATATCTGTTATATCAGTCACTCATTAGTATAGACAGAAACAAAAATGCTCCAATTCAAATAGATCTACATTTTTTATGATACATAAAATAGTAAACAAACTAACGAGTTTGCTTGTTTACTAATCTTATGGAAAATAGTAACCATTGTTTATCACACGACCAGAACTATAGATATAAAAAATATAGTCATTCTGAGGACTATCGCGTTATACCTTCACACCAAACATACATGGAACTTACATTAAACATACTCGAAAGCACAGTTGTTTCAAGAAATCACGACAAAAACTAGAAATACACAGTGCAGTAAATACCGTTCTTTTCAATCGACTTCAGAAGGTGTTCTCAATTCGGTTATATTTTTTTATGTTTGTTTTTGTATAACCCCGACAACTATAAGCAAATTTGGAAAACTTTTTTTATCTGAAAGGATATCCTTACAGATTGGTCCCATAGAATTTTTATCAAAATTGAGTCAGTAGTTTAGTTTTTAATGCAAAATAACTGGTTTTACTACAAATGAAAACGGATTTTATTGTGAAACACGATTTTAATTATACTATAAAAATACCGCAACTGTCATCTTCACCGTGCTACAACGCGGAGAGTATAACGCTTACCCCATGTAAGAAGAATGATACTTTAACATTAATAATAAAATATTTCAATGTTAAAAGATATTTATATATTTTTAAAACAATCAAGTAGTTATATTATATACATTATATTCTTTTTTAATTTCTTTTAAATATAAGTTTAAATTTAGCGAATGTATAACAACTATATCAAAAATAAACACTCCAATTTTAAATTATATCTACTTGTTATTATTTAACATAAGTTTTTATTCATTGTTTCTTTAAATTATTATGAATCCATTTTTAAAAAGAAGTTTCGCCAACGTAATGGTATGTAATACGCCAATAATAAATACTCCAGTGTTAATGCACCCGAACTAAACGTAAATACGGAGGGCGGTACTTCATACGGCACTTACACGGCGACAGCACCGCACGCATCCACTTTCCAACAATTAAAAGTGAATAATAAAATTCGATGACCGTACATAAATTGTGATTTAAATATTTATATATTATAATATAGTTTACATTCGAATTTTAAATACCAGTGCAACGAGTTTTAGTTAATTAATGGTTGATATTTTATTAATTTTCAACAAACATTCGTAAATATGAAGGTAAGTGGTAAAAAATAAGTACACCGTTACGAAAACGTTATTTCTGATGTTCTTTTCTTTTATTTCAAATAAAATAATAAATCGACCTAATATTCACGAAAATGTTATTAATGTAGATTCTTTAAAATAAGTAACTCGTAACTATTATATTTATTAAGTATCCGTGTCTATATTGCAGAAACGAATTTTACAATACAAAATAGATTTTAGAAAACGTAAAATATTAAGGATATTCTTGAACCTATCAAATACAGATTTTAAATACCACAAAATGTCATACATATAATGAAGCTTATATTTTCTGTAAATTTTTATATTTTATAAAACAAGGTAGATTTTTCTTTTTTCATCTATGAAAAATGATTAAGGTGTTTTATTCCATATAGGAAGCATTTTAAATCTTTCGTCTTTTTTTATTGTAACACATCGCGGATTGATATTTATTATTAGGTATAAGTACAAAGTACATTTGCTATGTAGGTAGATTTTTTTTATACTGGGAGTGGTAAACAAGCTAACGATCCACCTTACGGAAAGTGGTAACCGGACCCTATGGACATGAACGATACCGTGGACAATGCAGGATATGAATACTGTGTCACCTTAGTCAGTACACGTTGACAGAACTGAGAACTACCAAAACGCAAATATACCCTTCAAAATCCTTACTAATATTATAAATGAAAAAGTAAATTTGTTTGTTATCTTGGTGTCTTAACGGTTTAATGTTCGTCTTGAAATGTAATTCACCTAGGATGGAGAAGGACGTAATTTTTACCCCGCTCATGCGGAAAAAGTCACAGGTATAAACTAGTAGAAGAGATTTTTTTAAACACTGCAGACAATGACGCGTATAATTCGCCTAATAAAACTAAGTGGTTACTATAGACTTATCCAATGGAAGGCTGGAATACCAAAATTATCAATAGTGGCTTATCGACCCTGAAGATGCCTTTGTAACTTTTGAATTACTTCAGTAAAACGAGCATTCTTCCACTATTTCGTACGCATGGTTTCAATAGTAGAACAAAATAAAAGATACATCAGATTTTCACGAACACAAATGTGAAAACCGCATCCAATTTGAGGTAGTAATTTTAATATGATGCTAGAACAAATCTACCTACTGGCAGACAGACAAAATCTCAAAAAATTGTTATCTTGGCCTTTACTGTTTTTAATTAGACCTCCCACATTAATTTTTCTTAAATATCGTTCGTTAAAAGACATTGTTTAGTTATAATTTGTTATATTCGTAAGATACCATTTACCTGCATTCGTGTCAGATTAAAACGTCTCAAAAATAAATTTAAATAGGGTATGTCTGAAAAATTATTAATATTATTACTTTCGAATACATGAGTTACTTGTACAATATGTACAAGTACATCAATCAACACAATGTGTTGGAAATGGTTCATTTATTTAGAAATACAGGTTTACATGTCGTAATGGGAGATAACCTTTGAAATAAGTCAAAACTGACACGTACCTAAATAATTATATTAATGATAGACAACGACTTATTATAAACAGTTTTGCTATAGTTGGTGCATATCTTTTTATAGAAAAAGAAAAAAAAAACAGTGTAAAACATTCAAAAAAATAGCTAAAATAAAAGGTTTACGTGTTTATTGAAAACATCATATACTAGCTGTACCTTGCGGCTTCGCTCGTGGTGGTATCATGATGTTAAATAACTTATAATCTTCTAAAGAAATGTGCTATAAAATACAAAAAGAATTTTTCAAATCCACCTGGTAGTTTCGGAGATTAGCGTATTCAAAAACACAAACTTTATAGCTTTATTATATTTATTAAGAATGTGAAGATTGAATTGATTTTATTTTTCCCTATTCTATACTCCCTTTCCTCCTATCAATTAATTACACAATGATCAGTATCAACTCTGAATTAAGTACTTTAGTGTAGCATTATGACAATATAAAAAGAATTGGTATAAAATGAGATATGAAAATATGTTATTATATTGAAACAAACATGACCTTTAACAACAAATTAGTAAGTAACATGAAGATACTACGATTAAAAATAATAGTTTATTATTATATGAGCACATATTTCATATTTGTTTGGCATATATATCTCAATATATATTTGGATACATGACTCAATGTTTTCAATGAAAACGGATTAATAAAATAAACGTAAATATTTTAGTAATATATTAAATTAATATGAATTAAATCTGCATATTAAGGAGATAGGAAAAACGTGTAAATAATTGTAATCAATTTTTTCAATTATCCTTGATATTATCGCATCATATTATTACTATAACTGATAATGTAGATATAATATGGATAAAATCTTGCAATAATAGATACGTATTCGATATTTACAATAAAAAAATAATATTTTAAATTAAATGATAACTTTAAAATAGTAGGTTATATAATAAGCTACTTAATTAATCATTTGTTATGACGAAAAAGCTGACGTGCCCACTTGACGCAAAGTAATAATCGTTGTCTATAGATATATAAAAAGCATTATGGACATCACAGTATACACAGTGCAGCCCATGCGTTATTATGCCTAGAGACTTATTCATAAAATCATCAAACTTCTCATAAATCTATTTTAGCTATTGAACTGTTTTGTATCTCTTTCTTTTGTACTAAATTCTCAATTTGAATGAAAGTAATAAAACAGTGTTAACAGTTAAAAAATATTTGTAGGTTTAGTTTTTATGGATAACAAGGTAAAGGTGTGTTTTATGCTTATTTATTTATTCTTAATTGACCACAATACAAAAATATTTAATACACAGAACTTCACTATAAATTTTCAATATTTTTATGTACATATATGTTAGTTGTCACCACTTCGCATATTCTGTAACCGATTTAAATAATACTTTTTTAAACACAATTTTTTTATAATTTAAATTAAATCTAAACAAAACCAGTTTATTATATTGATTAAAAACTAAACTACCAAACCGATTTTGATAAAAATTCTATGTGACTTTTATCTGAAAGTATGTCCTTACAGATAAAAGAAGAATTTTTCAATTTGGTTTATAAACGACAAAGTTATGAGATAATAAACACAAAAATAAAACTTTTTTAAAGTCGCTTGAAAAGGGCGACTTCGTTTAACTAGTTTAACTTGAACAAGTGTGGTATATTATCAATTTCTTGATGTTATAATTATCATAAGTTTACAAATAATAAAACTTGATAACAATGATTTTAACGCTTGTTAAAACTTAATTAGTATGACAATGTAAATTAATTAACTACATGTTCTAATTTGTATGAACACGAGATGCTAACTTTACATCTATATACTCGTACATAATACAGGATGCCAAGTGACTGTCTGACTGACCTATATATCAACGCACAGCTGAAACCGCAAAATCTAGAATCTTTAAATTTTGCAAATAGGTTCTTTATATACTGTAGGCGAACACTAATAAAGGGGGGGGGGGGGAGGGATTGTTAATAATGGGATCCAACAGTTCCATTGCTAGCAATGTACCCTATAAGGTCGACCTCCACGCGGCCCCTTCTGGAAACCATCGTGGTTAATTCTCACGGAATTCTTCACGATGGACTCCTCCACCTCTCACTGGTGCCCCGCCAGCATATACCAATAGTGCAGACGAGGTTACCATTACATTTTCACCCATTAAAAAAAAACACTAAGAAATTTTGAAAATTTAACTCTTAAGCGGGTAAATCGGGTTTGGATATTTGTATGGAATTTCGTCAGTTTAAAAAAATGAGACGAAATATTATATTTAACGTCATGGTTCAGAATAAAATCAGCGAGAAATCAAATACTACACGCGAGCGAAGTCGCAGGCATAAGCTGGCATTATAAATCCTTCGACACAGCAAACTGGTGATTCGTGGCGCCGGCGCCGTCTTTTTTATTCGTAATTTCGATCAATACGAGTTTGTTAACTTTTGAGATTAGTTAAATGATAAAAACAATAAATAATAAAAACAAATCTGTTTTCAATATAGCAAATCCGCAATTTGTAATAGGTATAAAAACTAAATAAGCACCTAGTATTTTTATTAATAAACATGAATATTTATTCCGAGTTAGAGGTTGACACAGAATACTCAATTAGATAAGTAAATAGGCGACTGACAAAGAGATTTTTTATCAGTTGTGATGCGTGTAGTTATCGAATTCCATTTATCTAATTATAAAAAATTCATCTGTGAATAGAGATTCATTTCATTAGATATTAACATGCTTAGCGAATTGTGGGTATGTCGAATGATATGTTAAACACATTGGCAACAGTCGACTAATGTTTCCTACAATGTGATCTTAGTAGAAAGGCCAAGAAGTGATAATGTCTCCTGCTACCCCATAAGGGATTACAGTCGTTAAAGTATAAAAATTCCCACATAGGTACATATGTAAATGTATCGAAAATAAATCACTTCGACGAGAACAGAATAATAAAGATCAAACTTAATAAATCCACTTCAAAAAGGAGATTATCAATTCTAACTTTATTAAACTAACATTATTTTTGTTTGTTAACTCATATCTCAGTTGTAAACCGATTTGAAATTCTTTTTCCATCTGAAAGGATATATGTACCTGCAGATTGGTTCCGTAGAAATCTTATCAAAATCAATTTAGTAATTCAGTTTTTAAATTAAAATAACAAACTGTCGATGTTTTCCCTAGAGACTACAGTATGAGGTTCTTCAAAAAGAATATATTAAGGTTTCTTCGGGGTCGAAAATGCGCACGTGACACTTCTAGTGTTGTAGGCGTTCGTAGGCTACAGTGACCATTTACCAATAGATGCGACGTTTGATGCTTGTTTTCCAACTTTGTGGTATAAAAACTCAAATGATTTTTTTGTAGAAAATCAATTTAATAATTTTACAAATTTGGTCATCTAATTATACCCAAATTTACAAATGGTAACTTCCAAATAAAATATCGATTCACGCTACATAGGGACAATCCCCGTACAGGAAATATGATGGTCCATC